AAGGGAGGCTGCAGTAGTACAGGTCAGTTAACCATCTATTGGGTATTATATATGCACAGTGCAGCCTGGCAGCACACCACATTTATGTGCCCAGAGCATCACTGAGCTTAGTCTGAAACCTGTGTAATGGACCCTGAATATATAAACATACTAACCAACTATAAAACGTGTCTGATTCCTTCCCAACWTGCAGAAACTGTTGCTGTGTGCCCTGGGATTTACTGGCAGTGCTGCCTGTGCACCTCATTGCAGATCTCTGGGGCTGTCTGTGCTGTAGTGACAGTGGTTTGCTCAAGTTGGTTCAGACGCTCATCTTAGTCAAATAAAGCAGCAGAAAGCATGTAATCCAGCGTTGGATTTTGTAGCCCACAAGAAATTCCAGGTTGCTGTCCCATTTAGGTTGCTGCTTGCTGCTGCATTGACTAAGATGAGTGTCTGAACCAACTTGAGGGACCCTGCATCTACCTTTGTTGATCAGTTTCTGAGAAGAGGTATCAAAGTGTCTGGTTTTAGATACCATCAGCCTCTATCTCGAGTTTTTTGTTCAGCTTGAATGGTTTCCCAGAGTAATATGTAAAAAGAAGATCTTGCACTTAGCTCCATCTGGAATTGCTGTTCTTCCCGGTAAAGCCAAGTGATGGTGTGTTACTCACTGTGGAGTTACTGATTTTGCACTGGTCTAAAGAGCTGCCAAGTCCTGAAGGGTAAGATTGTATCTCKGCTTGGGGAGTCTGATCTTTCAGCTGGGTGGAAGGACCAGCAAATACATAAACCTCTTCCAGCTTTCCCTTGCTTTCCAATACTGAGACCATAATTCTTTCAAGAAGGGAACCTGTCAGCAGCACCTAAGAAGTAGCCATTGTGCCATATTTGAAACCTTCTGTCTCTGGGTCTGTGTCCTGATGATACGACCATAATCGCTTTTTGCAGTGAGTTTGGGTGTTTGTCTTCAGAAGCTCTGTTGCTTCTTGATTAATTGATGGACATTTAGACCAGCACTTTTCCTCCTAGTGCAGTGCTTATGATAGAAATTCTCAAAGAACCTTGCTTTAACCTCCCAGACGCTTAGCACTTGTTTGTGGGGTTTATRTCCATGTAGGAATGAAATTGCCAAGACAAATGAATGCAGTTATTGACTGAAGCAGCTGTTACCTGCTGCTGTTGAACAGTTAGGAGAGGGTTAAGAAGAAAACCTCTTCTGAGCCACTAGATTGGCCCTGACTAAGATGAATGTCTAATTCACTCCCAGCGTCCTTACTGCTGCCAGTAATAAAAAGCTTGCTTCACATATTCACCCCACTGCAGACGTTTCTCTTAAATTAAATATCAAGAGGACATATAATAGCACGATTCCACGCCAAGCCAATATTATCAGATTGATGTCAGCAGTGATAATAGAAGAAGGATAAGTTGATGAGATTTCATTTATTAAATAAAGTAAAGGGAATACGCACTGATAGAAAGGATTTGGTAACTCTCGGTGTCAAAATGCAGCAAGATTGTGCTCATTCTGATTTACCTCAAGGGATAGCAGAGAGAAGGATGCCCTTTGTTTCATTTTAAGAAAACCTCTCCCTTCTTTTCCAGACAAAGACCTGATTTAAATCCCTCCATGGGAGGGGGAGAGGAAGTTCTGAAGTCATGGATTTCATGTGTATGTAGCCTTCCTGCCCACTGAACAGTGCAAAGGCAAAGGTTTCTTTCCTCTCTGTGATAGGGGAGGCACTGCTAATGAGTTTTATTTCTAAATWCATCTTTTCCTTTTTCTGGCCTGTCATCCCTTCTTGTTTCCTCCTTTAAAGATATGAGAGTGTGTGCTATTGGTTTAATCTTTCATATTCTGTATGTCCTGCATTTATTMATTTCCAAGGTATTGTCAGAGCTTGTATTCCATACTTCCTTCCGCAGACACTGTGCTATCACTTCCCAGCCCAGCCCTTCTCTCTTGCCTTTTTCCTAGCTGCTGTAAATGACTTATACCTTGGTCGGTAATAGGGGTAGMAGTTGCAACATATTTTATTTTAGACAGAGGCCAACTGTCTACCTCATTTGGTGGTGACATATTATGCTTAAAACTGTGACCCTCTTTAGAAGGGTCAACGCATACAGGTCTTCCAATGGTTGTGTATACAAACCTCATCCCTTCTCCACCATTTTCCTTCCCCCTCATATGAGAAATAATAGCAAAAACCCTCGAACAATGACACATCGGGAGCAGTGTGGTCAGGTGTCCAGAAGATGGATTTTTCTGAAGATTAGTTAGTGCAACAGCCTTGAGCTGGGCTGAGGGTGAAGGGAAATAGYTGATGAAGGTCCCACCTCCTTTGGAAGTCAACCCCCAATGTCATTGCACTCTACAGATGTGTCTGTAGTTGGATGCTTCTGGTTCAATTCCTTTTTCTCTCAGGTATGTAGGAGGGAAGCCAGACACCTGTAAGGTGCAGTGGTTGTATGGATATAGGGTTGCAGTTCCCTCTCTGTGCAAATGGTGCAAACTGATGTTGAGAATACGAGCAGGAGAGTGGCATCCCCTCGATTCAGACAGGGCAGGCATCGTGATTGCTGTGCAGGGAGGAAAGTACCTCAAGTAATTGTTCACCAGAGCACTTTGGATACCTTTTTCCAGTGCAGATGGGTACCAGAACTAATCTGCTGGGTGTGGATAACTTTTGTAGTCCCAGACTCTGCAGTAACTTGGGTTGATAATTACCTAAACTGACTTTGCAATTTGTTGCTTAGCATCTCTAAATCTGTTTTGAGAAGCTGGTGCAAGTGATGCGTAACTACAGCTTGAGGTTGTATTTTGAAGAAATAAAGGAGAATAATAACTTTATGATTTTGGGTACATGGTACCAAATAAATCCTCCCTGTGTTGTGGGAAGTGGTGTGTAGGAATGCTGATTTCGGTACTGGTGGGCGATGCATCCTGGTTGGTGTTGGTGGATCCCTTCCCTATGGTAGGTTTGAGGAAACAATACTCACTCTTGTGGCTTCTTAGAACAGTTCTAAAACAAGGCACAATTCCTATAGCTCTCTCTACAGACAATGTCAATCATATTTCTAATTATTTCTGAGATGTTTGTACRATGTTGTTCAGTTCAGAGAATACAAACTGGTTTTTGGTGTGCTGTACCTTTTAGCTCTTCCAGGTCTCTATGTGAAAATTGCAAAATGCCCTTCAGTTTAACATCACTGAGTTAAAAAAAACCTAATTTTAAAAGTCTTAACTTTTTCAATGAATTGAGGGATTTGGTGGTATTTCCTGACCTGGTATTGTTTGGTATCATTTCCACAGTCTCACTGATTTGATTAGAGTGATATTAAAGTTAGTGACAAAGCAAAATGCCAACATTATGAGTTTCTGAAGCTCTCTCTGGGTTCTTTTCTATCCCAAAATTTGAAGGTTTTTTTTTTTTTAGAATATGGATTTTCAAGGCTTTAAAGGTGATTTGCTATATAACACAGAAATTAGAAATGAACACTAGCCTTTAGGGASTGTGCATGGAATAAGTTTCTTCTAAAAGCTGTAAGATTAGTGAAGAGGTGGAAAAAGAACTCTGTGTAGTATCTTTGTGGTTTCCGATCCAAATCTCAGTGTTGGTAGAGCTGGCTGTCATACTGTTACTGATACATTCCCACTCTGTCCGTGGATGTTGGCAGTAAGAATGAGGACTGAAGCAGTGTCAACTAGAGTATACCTCAGACTATTTTGAGAGTGCACCTGGGTTGCTAATATGGAAAAGACAAAATTGTTCTTCTTTTGGTCCTTCCACTTCTTTCCTGAGCACCTTATACAGTTTGTATATAATTTGGAAATTCATATCGGAGCTCTCCAAAAGCTTTTAGAAGATCTTGGTTTAAGATTTCCTGTTTCTTAGAAATCTGTTCCGCCTGACAGCCTGTGACATGCCCAGGGACAGGTCATGTTTTCTCTCCCTCTGCCTTGCTATGAAGCCCTTTTGCTGGATGAGTGCCTGTTGTTACTGTGGAAATGAATACATCATAGCATAGCATTAATGCCTGCCTGTAGCATCAAGTGCTTTRAAGGAGGAGGTGTGTGTGATATTTGGGCACAGATCTCTAAGCATATTGGGGCAGGAAATGCAAGGAATTAAATAGATTTACGGTTTAGAAGATGACATCTGGGGATTGCTACACCTAAGCATATGTTCTCTCATTCTCTAGTAAAACATACCATGGCCGTGGTGCTGCAGATTCCTGCAATTTGTGTCTGCCTGTCTGTGCAGCTGATGTCACTGTCATTACTGTGTTTGTGCCATTGTTGCTGGGATTGTTTTACAAYGACCTTCCCCTTTATTGGTACTGTTGCTGATGATGTGCCATATGTACACATGCACATTAGAGTAAAAGAACATCATCCTTAATTGTTCTTGGGTAGCTGTCAATGCCATTTACGGAGTATGAGTTCTAATTGCTGCAGAAATACAAAGAAACAGATATCTGGTCTTGCTATTATTCTGCCTTTTTCCTGGTCACTAGGAGAATTGCTGTGCTTCCAACCATGCTGGACTTCCTGTAGGTTTAAATAGATGAGAATTCAATAGATGGAGGTGGCTTATTCAACAAGTCTGTTCAGTTCCTTGTCAGACTGCTACAGATCTAGTGCAGGCCCAGCCAGGATTCTTGAGTTCTGCCAGAGATTTCCAGTGTGAGTTAAGAAAATCATTGAAACTCTTGGACTTTCATTTTTTTAACCCCTGACTGCAGAGGAGACATGATGTTTTATATATGGGTAAAACAGCCTGCCACACTAGCTAAGAAAGATCGTGTTCCTTCTTACTGCTAAGAACCTTGGTTTTTTTTTGACTGAAAGACACACTTGGTCATTTGACCCACTTTGGTGATTGCWGCTCCCACCAGTTTCTCTATTAGGACTACATGACTCTGGCACAAAATTAGTSTGTGTGTTACAGGCAAAGTGGTAGTAAGTGGCTGGAAACTCCTCTTCACACATCTTTTTTTGCTTGTTTTCCCTGCAGGAAGAAGAACACTGATCCTATCTGTGCAAGCCTGCAGTATGAAATTCTGAGATGCTACAGAGAAAACCAACATGAAGTGCTCAAATGCTCGGAGCTGGCAAAGGAATATCAGCGTTGTGTTAGTTCAGCTCAGAAGGTAACAAAAGCTTGTCTGTTGTACTGGCTGGTTTTACTGTCTTGCTTTGCATGGTGTTTTCTTCTGAGAAGTGTTTTTGAGAGCTGTGGTATCTGTTAGTCAAATTGCAATCTTCATAGGAGACTAACCTTCTTTGGGATGCATTTTCCCACATTCATTCCACATTTCCCAGTCACGCTGTGGTGTGTCCCAACTTCATTCCCATCAGTGGGTCCTGTTGTACTGAGCTACCACCTGAACAGTTGAACCAATGCTCCCAGGTTTCAAAATCAGTCAATGGCCTTCCCTAGTTTTGCCTTCTTGGATGTTGTATAGTGCAAACAGTAAGTAAATCCATTTTTGGCAATGTCTGCAACCATTTCAACAGGCTCTAAATATGCTACTGGTATAGGACTTTGAAGTTGGTGGTCTTACTTATTTTCGTTGCTGCACGGGGAAAGGTTCTGTACTGGGCAAAACTGCTGCCTGTTAAGAAAATTGCGCACTCCTAAAAACTGTTCATCTTGTGTGGGAGGCCAGGAAGCCTTATGGCTCTTCCTTCTGAGATGCAGAGTCCCAGTAGGTTCTGTTGATGCCTTAGGACAGTGGCTGCTCAGTACCTTGGAAGAATTTCTGGCTATTGAAACAAGTGAAGGGGAAAAGAAAATGAAGTATTTGGACATTACAACTAGGGTATGGTCCTGAACCATGTGAGAATTCAGTGGGTCAGGTGTCCCTCAAGGGCAGGCTTTTCTGGTTTGATTTTTTTTGTGGACAGCTGAAAATTCTCCAAAAGGTGCTGAGAATATAGTAAAGTGGTTTTGGGGAAAAGGATGGTAATAGGAAACTGAGACTTCTCTCATGGGATTACTAAAGCAAAGGGTGGGGGAGAGGTGGATATTTCATGGGAGTCTTTCTCTGCATTAGCATTGTGAGGGGAAGCTGTATGCCTGATTTAAGTATAACATGAAACAAGCTGCCAGCCGGCTCCCAGAAGAAGCCCGACAGAAGGAGATGGGAAAATTGTCAGGATATATTAGACCAAATGTTGTTGCTAGTCCTAGTGGAATTTTTTTCCTTCCTGTTTACAAAGAAGGTCTTTGTGTGTCTGCAAATCAGCAAGGTTAAAGCTGCCAGGGAAAGGGCTTTTCTCTGATATCTCTAAAGTCCCCAGCTCCCAAAACATGTGGTTTCTTTTTCTTCCTCAGCTTTAAAGTAAAGTGGTGCCTGTGCTGCTGCTGCACAATCCGTGCCCCCAGTTGCTGTGTGCAGAGCATTGGTGCAGCTATTGCCAGCCTCTGTTATCCTCCTTGCCTCCTCTAAATCAGGCTTGTAGCCTTTTCAGTGGAGTATATCTTTAGCAAATGCATTTACCAATACATCTTTATTGCATGCAGTGCGGGTGGAATGTGATTACCAGAGAAGACAGATTGCATTAAACTTCAGCATATTTGCAAGCTGCGGCTCCAACCCGCCTGAGAAAGGGGCTGGGATGCTGCCAGCCCTGAGCCCCAGCCCAACATTATTAAAGAGTAAATTAGAAGTTAAATGACTGGTAACAGCAGAGGGCAGTGAAAGATCCTAATAACTTGGATCTTTTTTGAATTTGGTGGAGGTTTTGGTAGGTTTTCTTTATAAGCCAAAAACTGGGGGTTGTCTGGGTGTCTTCATTCCCAAAGTCTTCAATGAACTTCAGCAACTTTTATCCCCACTATTGTTAGAAACTACCTGGAAGGAAAAGTACACAGAACATTMATTTGTTATGGATGATGACAATGTGGCAGAAAATCTTGATGTTTTAAGAAGGGGCTTGAGAGATTAAGGAATAGGTAACACACCTTGCAGCTAGAAACAGGCACTAGAAGGTTCTGCAAGTACAAATTCAAATAAAACTTYCGTAAGGCAATATGCCTTCTGTAGTTTACTTTTGTCCCAGAACAGCTCAAGCCCTGACAATTTCTCTCACTGCGCTTACTGACTCTTCTGACTCCTGAGATACATGTAGCAATCACAAGCTGTTGTTTTATCATGTAGGATTAAAATTCCTTCCTCCCTTCCCCTTTTTAAGCTGTTGTTTTTCTTTAAGTTTAAATTAGCGTCTTATACCAAATGGCTTTGTCTCACGCATTCCTCATTCAGGAAATTCAGGTTGGAGGAATGTGGGAAAGAAAGGCCAGAATATCTTGATTTCTTGGGTATTTTTTTACCTTTTTTTTAAACACGATTTATTTTCCAGTGCAGGAGGAAATGTAATAAAAGCTGGATGTGTGACTTCAACTCACTTGCATGCTGGTGATTTGTTCTTCTGCTTTTTACTGAAGATTTTATAAGGCTTGGTGAATATTCTTTAATGAAGCATCTGGTTCTCTGCAAGTTCCTTTTGATGGCTGGTAAAAATGTCTCCGRGGCATGGTATACATTAGACTCGGAGAAAGCAAGCTCTGGATTTCTAGACTGAAAATTACAGTTTRCTGTGGGTGAGAATAGTTCTTTGCATCTTCCCCCTTACTGTGTTTGTTTGAGACCATTCCTTTGGACATCCATTTCCCTTTGCCTGTYGTTGTGCACGTCTCTGAGACAGGAGCTGAGATAYACCCTCAGTTATTTCTGCCCCATGAACAAAYATATAACATAATCATTTAAAATTTRTTTTCTACTGGTTTCCTGYACAGCCCCTCTTCCTGGARCAGGTTGCTTTATTTTGACGCGTGGTAAGGATATGGCTATTGTTATCTGTTTTGTTTATTTTCTGGCCATTGGGCTGTCTCTTGTAGTCTACAGAGAGAAATAAACACCTGTAGAGTATGGTGCATCTGATTCTCAAAAGTCATCTGAAAGAGGCCAGAGATGAATATTTCCCTTTGCCTCTTGGGAGGCACATCCAGAGCATGGACTACAAAGCTGGTGCCTATAYTGGGATGCTCATGGTAATGGGAGCAGGATCCTGCTCTGGCTGTCTGCCTTTGTATCCAGAATGCTTTTAATTTASCCTGCCTAACCTGCTCATGAGCTTTTGCATTTGTACCATCCTGAATGTTGAATTTTGGGCATGTCACTGGTGACTCACTGCAGCAGTGTCAGCCCCTTTAGGCACTGGMTTCCTTGCTGCATCCCATGTTTTGCTTATGTGGAAGTTCTCTGACTTTAGAGGGTGTTGTTGTGATAGGTCCTGTTTAATTTAGGAGTGTTTTATCTTTTCTGGTGGTCTGTTTCCATGGCTCTGCAGAACTTGAGCTACAGCATAAAACTCRCTGGCTTTAAATCTAATAAAAGCTGGGATAATGGGACAGCTGTAGGAGGGGCAGTTCCCATTGTGTCTTTCAAAATTGCCTGTAGTTTATTGACCGCAAGTTTCACCAAGAGCTACTGCTGCCGTTAGATAATGAGAATTGAAAATTGCTGCTGCTGTTTCCCCAAGGTTTTATCTYGTGCCAGTGAGAGGGGGGTGTTGAAGGGAAAAGGAGAGTGGGCAGTGGAAATCTACATAATTTCTTCGTCTGGATCCAGATGGAAAGAGAAAACAAATGATTTTGTTTTAAAAAGTCTGAATCCTATTAGTGAATTGCTTCCCTCACCCGTGTGAATGTGCACTCACATGCAAGCTTTTSAGAGTGTTTGTGACCCGTTCTGCTGTCCCTGCGTTCTGTTCACACCAGTAGGCAAATCTGAATTGACGCGAATTTTAGTTGGTTACTTTGTTACGTAATTGGTGGTTATCCCAGRGAATCTCCAGCCAGCTGCCACTTGGAAAACGAGGCCTCTGGTGACCATGTATTAGTATGATTTGAGATTTCAAACAGAACGTGCTTCCTGCAACTGTGTGCAGAAAAATGTCTGTTAGTGAAGGGCATGTATCCCTTCTTTTCAGGGGTTTTTGTCTCTAGGTGCCTGTCTTTCACAGAAGGACCAAGGTGAAATTTCTGTGCTCTAGCTCCTGGCCAAACCAAGCTATCAGGGGCTGTGTACTCAGACATGTGTATTCCCTTGTCAATAGGAGCTGTATACATTGAGCTKGGAGCCATTCATAATCCTGCACTCTTTGTCCCTATTCTGTGTCCAGCTTCTCACAAATCTGCTATTCATAACAGACTAAGGTAAACCACTTCTGTCAAGGCTTCAGGGCTTGTCTACATAAGGAAATTACAATGCAATAAATTGGTGAGTGAGTTTCTCTGTATATGAATGTTCTGGGTTTGTAATGAAAGTGCAGGGAAAATTCACACACATTTGCTGTGAGTCACTCTGCTGTGTGCAAACAAGYCCTTGCTAAACACTGATTGACTGAATTCCAGTGAAGGGAGACTTTTAACATAACCTTGAGTCGTCTGTGTTCTGCTTTGCCCTTGACTATAATAAAAAGGAATGTGGTCAATTTATTGCATTTACACTTCCAAGTGATCTCTGTGAAAACCCAGTTCCCTTTTGGCACACAAAGCAAAGCATTACAACTCTGCTGGAAGTTTGTCTCTAATCTGTGGGCAGGGACTTACATTGCTGAGAGGATGCTGCAGGTATTGCTGCAGTGTCCCATCCTGATGGAGCAGTTTTGCYCAAGCACTCTGGATCCTGCTGAAGYGTGGCCTGCTGGGAGCTTTCATTTCTGCAACCTGGATCTCTCTGCTTAAGAGAAACAGCTTTGGGATGAGTTGGATGCCATGGGCTGCACYGCAGGTATCTGATCATTCTGGATCATCAGGCTCTTGCTAAAGTGTTGTTTCCATTCTAATGGRTGGCAGAATACTTTACAGATAGGTTGTGTACTTATTAGGCTAGAGRGGAGCAGTCAGTGTGTGTGGCTGGAAAAAGAAAGTTTGGACCAGGTATAGCAAGGTCTRTATCTCTGCTTGAGAAATGCCAGGATTTCTTCTTCCCCTGGGACTCTGCAGAGGTAGATTTTAGCTGTCGAAGCTTCATTGAGGAGATCTATCACATGGTGTGCCGCTTGAAATACAGTATATCTAACTTGGAAGGCTTTAGAGCTGTTTGAGGTTTCTGGGATTCAGGTTTGTAGTTTCAGATAA